GCAGCTTCAACACTGACGTGTTGGCATGTACCGAGCTAAGGCTCCGTCTATATTCAGCGAGCGTAATTTAAAGGTCGCCGCGCGAGACAATCGGCAATTAGTTTGCACTACATTGTCTGGCCACAGGGCAGCGAGAACTGAATGAATTATGTTTTCCGAGCAAGACAATGGATTCGGTAACCGTTTGAAAGACATGTATCTATCTGTCTATGAAGATAAATGAAATGATAGAGGACCGCGATTGATATAAATTAAATTATAATTAAATTAATTAAATTAATTAAAATATAAAACAATTAATTAAAACATAAAATAAATTAAAATATAATTAAATTATTTCTGCATTTACATAAGCCGTGATAGCTCAGCGTCCGGGCGCTCGCCTTTAATTTAATCTACTCGAGCAACCTGAGTTCGATCCCCGGTGTAGCACCAATGAAGTAGATAATTTTATGTGCTGTCTTATCACGTGCACAGTGGTGAAGGAAAACATCTTGAGGAAACCGGCATTTTTTCGAAATACTTAATAAAAAAATATTTCGAAGATATGTGAAGTCAGCAGATCCCCAGGTTAGCGTGTTGGAATAAGCCCTAATTCGCCTGTACAAAGGAGGCCTTTGCCCAGCAATGGGATATATATACATAGGCTGTTACTTTAAATTACTGCCTTTGTGCCCGCGTCACGGAAAAAGTACTGAATGCATTTCAATTGATTCTGTGGCAATTAAAATAAATGCATTTAAAATTAAATAACTGTGGTACGGCCATGGTAGGGCAACAGTCTACGTTGTTGCACGATTAGGCAGGTCCGTCCGGGGAAGTAGAAGTATTATGCCTCTGCGTTTGGTCTGGTGAGTGAGGTGAACGGGGCCCACTTTATTAAAAGGTGGCAACGCACATGCAACTCTACTGGCTAAACAGCATAGGTTGATGTTTGAAATTTCTACACTAGGTAAGTTCTATTCCATAGATATGATTTTTGGAAATATCATCCGCAAGGGTTAATAAGTTAGTAGGAAAAGGATTTTTTAAGAAATCCACGATTTTGTTTAACGTGCAATTAATAATTTCAGGTTTTCGGATATAAATTGAGAAAAAACGTTTGCTTCGTTTCCTCAAACATTTACCCGTAAGTAGGTTAATTCGAATATGTTTGAATGTATTATACCGTTCCGAAATGCACTCACAGACCATTCCGTGGTCGAAGATATATATATAAAGATATATACAATTACAAAGCACTAGAAACGTCCTTGTTTATTCATTAAACATCAAAGTAAGACGCGGCATATGTGAAAGTGGCGTTTCTAATAATCAATGCTCGGTATGTCTGTGCACGTTCTTGTCTAAAGTAACTATTTTATTACCTTGTATCGTTATCTCTTCCAGTTTAGTATCTGCTTAGTAGCAGATTGGTAGTAGCGTAAACGGTGTTTACGTAAGACTTCTTAGTAGAGTACTCGTTTAGCTAGTTTAAGTTATAGGCTAGATAAGTATATGATGAAAGCGGGTTTTTTTTATGTGAAAAGTTGCCAAGCGAGCAGACGGTTCACCTGATGTTATGTGAATACCGCCGCCCATGGACATCTGCTACACCCGAGGGTTCCAGATGCGTTGACAACCTTTTGAAAATTGGGTTCCGGCCACCTCACTCACCAGACGAAACGCGATAGTATTATACTTCCACTTTACGCCGGTCTTCTGTGAGGTCGTGTTACTTACCCGGACGAGCCTGCCCATTCGTGCAACTGCCTAGGCTGCTGCGTGGCCCTACCACAGTAAAATGGTATGGTTTTAAGTATAAGATTTTAGATGGTCTGTGGTAGGGCAGCGCCTCAGCTTCCGATGTTGCACGAATGGGCAGGCTCGTGTGGGGAAGTGCCACGTCCTCACAAGAAAACAGTGAGATAACCCGAGCCCACTTTCTAACGGATGACAACGCATCTGTTATCTCTGAGGTACTAGATTTCGAAGTCCGGCGGCATTCATTAACAACACATCAGGTTAACAATCTCCTAGTTTGCTAACTATTCACATAAAAACAAATAAATAAAACATGGCTTTGAGACGACACATGACGTCATCTGTAAAGTAACATCGTCTTCAATTGAAGTTCGTCTCAGTGTGTTCATTTTTTTGTGTTTTTTTTTTTTTTTTTTTTTTTGTACTACCGTACAATCCAATTGTGTTCTAAACTAGTAATAGTAGTAGTCTTTAACTGTGGGCCACGCATCGGATGAGCAGGTCCGTCGGGTAAGTACCACGCCTCAGAAGACCGTCTCGAAGTGGAACAGTTATTATTCTGCGTTTCGTCTGGCGAGTCAGGTAAGGTAAAATGGCCCCGCATTTTTAAAAAGATGGCAACGCATCTGAAACCCTACTATCTGGATGTTGCAAATGACCATGGGCGGCGGTTATCACTTAACATCAGGTGAGAAGTCAGCCCGCTAGCCATATTAAAAAAAAAAGGAAACAAAAGTCCAAAGGCAGCATAGTGCCCTCGGGCGCCTCTCAAAGTATTTGTCTTCGAATCGCGGTCGAGTGCTGTCTTTAAGTTAACCGCTTTAGCACGACCCAGGTCCCTCGGTGTGTATTCGCATGACGTAATAAGGCAATACAATACGGCGACTAGCACAGATGTTTTTATTACTCGTCTAATGTTCACGCTCTATTCGAATGTTTTATGTGGTCGTCTTGTTCGCTGTACAAATGGATTTGTGCATTCGTAGAGACCGCGTGGGCAGCCCACGAAGATATTAATGATTTCTTAGATTTACTTAATACACTTGTAAATAACATACCTTATCGATTTCAATAGGTTTTCAATTTGTTTTTAAATTATCGTTGTTTCGGACACTTTACAGCTTCGGTGGTCACGGGACTGATTTTCTCTGACAGCAATTTGTAAGTTAAATTAAGAAGTAAAGTTCATTACACAGTTTTATACTAACTTAGACATCGTTATTGTCGTAAATAAGGAATTCTGTACTAACGCAATTTATGTATGTCGAAACAAAGTTTTAGTTGAGAAAAATAAATAAAATACAAACTTCAGTGGCAAAGTTGACGCTAAAAAGCGAATAAAAGAACTTCTTTAAACTCAATGGAAAGAATGGATATGGAGAGGATCTTATGATAAAACAGGATCCGTGTTCTTCGTACCGAAGTATGATTAAACTTAATTTCAGTTATTGTTCATTGTTCAAACTTTCTTTTATATCATACTTTGCCAGCACGCAATAATGGACGCAGTATTAATTATCATTATCCTCATTATTACAGCCTGTTTGAACAACAAACAAAACATAGCCCTTAATTTAGGTTAATGTTATCCTGTGTTGTAAGGACGTTTTACAAACATAAATTTCACGTGGACAAACACCCAGATGCGAAAAAACTATCTGTGGGTCTCACAAATAGTTGTACCGTGCAGGAATCGAACCCACGACCCCCGACGCCGAAGCCAAGAGTCATCAAAGTTGGGTTGCATATGCGTATACAACCTCTTTAGGGTTTCTTTTTTATGTGAGAAAGTAGTAAGCAAACTGGTGGTTCACTTAACATCAAGTGATAACCGCCGCCCATCGACATATGCATCACCCGTCCATTTGCAGATGCGTTGCCACCTTTTCATAAAGTGGGTTCCGGTTAGCTCGCTAGAACTCGACAAAACAACAGAAATAGAAGAAGAAATATACCCTTATGTTCCGTGTGGCCGCGGTAGTTCCCCGAGCCTGCAACAGCGAAGACCCTTGTAGAGCCATGCAGCAGGCATGGGCCTACCACGGTAAGAGTGGACTTAATAAAAATTATAAATTATCCGCGGCTTCGCCTGCGCGGCCATTAGGCATGAAAATGAGTTTTTATTATATACCAGAATCAAAGATGGCTGAATTTTTTCCTACTTAGTTGATACTTATCAACACCTATCCTTTGAGCGATTCACACAATATCTTTATAAATTATAATAGCCTATGTGTTATTCTGACAGCTATATTATATGATAAGCTATATTATTGTAAAGTTTCATTAAAATCTATTCAGTGGTTTTTGTGTGAAAGAGTAACAAACATCTATCCATACATACAAATTTTCGCAACATCACTATTCGTTCACGAGTAGCTGTTATATTAAATAGAGAGAATACAAAAATGAAAAGTTCGTCCCAACACAACTGTCTGTACTGAACACGTAAATAATGATAGTAAAAAGATGTATACATGTTATATCAACCTCCAATGTTAATAATTTTTAATCTTCGTTTATACTTATACAGCGTGTCTTTACAATCGTGACAATAAATGAACACACATATAGAGGATAACTTTTTAAAATTGTATTAAACATTAACATTCTTTTAACATCAATATTTACAGAGTTATAAAATTATCCAAAACAAAGAATTTTAGAACACCCTTACGTATAAAACTGTGACGTAAAGTTCATTTGTAAAGGTCATAAAGCATATGAATGGGTTGAATGAATTTAAAAGAGACAAAATATACTGTTAGAAGGAGAAGCTTGTAATACGACGCTGTGGCGCGAGTTGTATAGGATGTTACAAATTTTGTTTCTTTTTTACATAATTAGTTTGTTTGAAAAAAAATTTTTTTAACGTTAATATTTTTTATGATTATTGGCAAGTAGCATTAGATGTGTGTTCATTTACTGTCGCGATGGTAACGACACGCTGTATAAATAGTAAAAAAGCCATCACTTAGCAAAATGATGCAGTAGGTAAAAGCTGAATTTTAAGACTTTTATATTCTTAGAATTGGGTAATATCGTTATATAAATAAAAAGACTAAAACACAAATTAAATCAAATATTTAGAAAATTCAATAATACCATAGTCCTAATGATAGTCCTAACTCTTGGGAATCAGATAACGGTTGAAGAAGTAATGGTCACTCCGTCGGCCGTTATTTGATTTACTTGGACGTATAAATAGGCTACGGAAAGTGTATTTTACCCGGGCTAATGGATTCAGACGATCGCTAATGGTGCGGCAACTCGCTGCCCTGGTCCTCCGTGAGTATTGATGACCTCCCATTCGTCGAAGGGTCCCGGAGGGTCGGCGGCGGTAGGATATTTATCGCCACCTGCGGTTGAGCTGCCCTGGACAGCACTTCTTTGATTAAATTGCATTGCAAGATTGGATGGAGGGCTCTAAAACGTTTGTTAGGTCCTTATCTTTACTAATCACTGCATAGTGTAAAACAAAGTCGTCCCGCTGTCAGTCTGTCCCTCTGTATGCTTAGATCTTTAAATCTATGCAACGGATCTTGATGCGGTATTTTTAATAGATAGAGTGATTCAAGATATAGGTTTATATGTATAATACATTAAACCTGTGCGAAGCCGGGGCGGGTCGCTAGTAATATTATAAAAGCGAAAGTTTGTATGATGTTTGTTACTCTTTCACGCAAAAGCTACTGAATGGATTTTAATGAAATTTTACAATAATATTGCTTATGCATCGGTATAACACATAGGCTATAATTTGTAAAGATCCAAGGGTCTCTCAAAGTACTCTGTGTGTCTGTTACGCCTTCACGGATAAAACGCAGAAATTTTGGTATAAAGATATATAGGACATTGGAAAAGAAAATAAGCCACTGGAATTACTAATCCTGTGCAGACGAAGTCGCAGACAGCAGCTAGTACAGCATAAAGCCACATATCGTCATTATAAATACGATATATAAACGATGGTTAAACTCTCTGAATTGATTATTCTGTTCATTAAGAAGATTATTCTGATCGATTCTGAGATTTCATCCTTTTGGAAACTAAAATGAGATTTAAAGAGCCATTTGACAGCTGATTAGTTAATTTCTACGATGATCAGTGTTTCAAAGATCGGGCATTAGTGGCTCTTGATTGGATCTTTGTGTGACAGAGAGCACACCTACAGTCTTATCCCTTAGAATTAAAGATGTGAATGTTTGTGTCATTCAAAAAGCGCTAAAGTTCTAACAGGCCACCGCTACGAAGCTCTCAAACCGCAAACTCGTAAGAACTCCCGCACACAAGCACTGTCGGCGTAACAAGTTGGAAAATGTCGAGGAGCTCAACTGAGCGGTGGTGCTGCAAGTTAGAGCTGTTTTCTTGTTTCCTTCTTCCGTCTCCTTAGCGAAGATAAGTAGTCTGTCTGCCTGCGAATTTCGGTCCATGACTTTAGTTTATCTTTAGTTTCACACGCGTAAGGACTTTAGGGTTTTGTTAATTTTGGTTTTAATTCGCACCCTGCCCACGGCTCCGTTTTCCTCAATGAAAGCAAATGTCTAAGATCTTAAATATCAAATTTATGGTATAATTTCAGCGTCTGTTTTTCCCTGAAAATATAAAGTCGGTGTCAATAATATACTTATGCGTTTACCATTGACTGTAACTTCATTCACTCTCTGAGTAAAGAGTCACTCGTTTACATAGTAGAAATTGTGTAAATACCACGAGTAATAAGGCTATTCAAAGAATGGAGCAGTTAGCGAGTTTGTTAAAATGTAACATCTAATAATATCTAAAGCCCGCTGTTCGTTTAACCGACACCAATTAAGTTAACTACAATCACGTGAATCGAGTTAAGTAACGCACACCGCGCATCGATCGGACCCTACTACTCGGCCATATTACAGAGCACCTTCCGCCTTAGGAAGGCGTACTAGCCGAGGCCTATTCAACATAGCAGCCTCACCACCCATTTCTGGTTACAATGCCAACTATTCGTGGCGCCTTAACTAATTTCGCCACCCTATAATTATAATGACTACATCAACCGGAATATTGTTTTTTAGTATGTGTTGTTATAGCGGCAACAGAAATACATCACCTGTGAAAATTTCATTTGTCTAACTATCACGGTTCATGAGATACAGCCTGGTGACAGACGGACAGACAGACAGACAGCGGAGTCTTTGTAATAGGGTTCCGTTTTACCCTTTGGGTAGGGAACCCATAAATAATGTAGTGTATTACAAGAACAGACAGTGATAGACTGTAATTAGTATAAAAAATGATGGAAAATTCTTACATCTGGTGTTTATGTATATGCAATCAGAAGGGAAGGAGGAAAAGCGCTTTGCTATGATAGGGCCACGCAACAGTATTCTCTGTTGCAGGAATGGGCAGCTCCGTCCGGGGAAGAGACCACGACCTCACAGAAGACCAATGTGAAGTGCAATTGTTATACTTCTGCGTTTCGTCTGGTGAGTGAGATAGTCAGGATTTATTAATAGGTGGCAACGCATCTGCAATCACATCTGCGGTTATCAACGCATCTGCATACAAATCTGCGGTTATCAACGCATCTGCATACACATCTGCGGTTATTACTCAGCATCAGGTGAACCGCCAGCTCGTTTGACATCTCTCGCATAAAAAAATTGAAGCACTAATCAATGCGTTGCTAACGATGTAATCTTTAACAGTCTCGTCGAAGTTACAACTGGTATATATATTATAAAGTTATGTTATAAACACTTACACAAATTATTAGTGTTATGTTTATAATATACTAATGTATTTTTTAGTAAGCTAAGACCATTCGAAAACTGGAACCTTATAAAATAAAATGAACGGCAGAAATACTTTTCACAGAAAATGCTTGGAAATATCTTAAGAAAACATCTGTAGCTGTTCATTTCGCTTTATACTTGCCAGTCCATTTACGTCATCGCGTCTGTCCCGTGGGAATTTGGCGAAAGGCTGGAAGCAACAAAAAATTACTACCAATCTTTTCTTGTGGATATAGCATAATCCAGGCATTATTTCACGGTAGCAAGAAGCTCTCATGACCTGGCATTTGACGTCGGCTTTGCAAATTTAATGTCGCGCTTTCGAATTTCAGATGCGTGTTTTTTATTATTCCGCTATTGCCACCCGCATCTGCAACACCCGTAGGGCTGCAGATGCGTCGCCGGAAAGTGGACCCCTGCCACCTCACTCACCGGACGAAACGCAGAAGTGTTACAATTCTACTTCGTGCCGACCACGGACGGACCTGCCCATTCGTGCAACAGCGAACTGTTGCATGGCTCTACTGCAGTTGAAACCAAGTTTCGCATGTGAAATCACTGGACTCTACGCCCGGTGTTAAGCGAAATGGCGCGCATAACTTCGGAGGACCAATGGCCTTAAAAGCTGTCAAGGTCCTTGGTAAGGTCGAAATATATCAGCGGCAGATTTTACTGTTGCAAGGATGGGCAGGCTTTTTAGGGTATGTACCACGGCCTTACAGAAGACCGGCGTGAAGTTAGGGGAGTATTACCGGGGCACTCGGTTTCAGAGATGGGCATTTCGTCTGCAACCTGACGGTTGTTGTAGTGAACATCTTTGGTGGCTGTATATTATCTGATCTCTATTATTGTTATAGAGATCTGATCTCTATTACTATTAACTTCCTTCATTCATATGAGTTTGTACAAATAACAATCTTTCATCTTCCTCCACCATGACGTGACACACCTATTAATGCCTCCATCTCGTCCTTGATAACGCAATAAATAAAATTACCTTTGAAGTTAAAAGATGTCTATATTACCTTTAATATAAAGAAGTATCAGTTATCCCCGGAAATACGTATATACATAATGTATATACATTAATAATAAGCATTCTTGGCTTGTTCTTAGACATTTTACCCATATGTTCTCGATATTTGTGCATTTATATTTCTCACACATATCCACCAACTTTTCGTACAGAGAACATAAACAAAGAGAATGTAATCACTACGTTTAAGAGACGGGACTTCCATACTAGCCCAAAATATCAGTTTACGCGGCACTCCAATACCAACCATACCACAAACATGTCAAACAACACGAGTACCAACGTAACGCGCCAAATAGTGCTTAACGAAGCTAGCTTAGCTTCTTATCGATATCGATATCGATAAAAGATACTAGGTAGAAACCGAGGTTTCCACTTAATATTTTTTTATTAATTTTAGTAGGTAAGTATCGAGTCCGTATTTATGTCCATTGTTGATGAGGGGATATTTGGTAGAAGATTGGACTTGAATACGGACCCGAAATAAGATAAAAAACGGTTTCTGTTAATTAAAATAAAATTTTATTACTTAAATGAAATTTGTTTCTTGATTCTTCAGCCAACAGCTGTTGTCCTACTGTACACGAGTCTGGAAATAATTGAAACATAAAAATAGAATCAAAATCCAAAAATTATTTTAGTTTTCTTGCATACTCAGCGCACGAAATTAATTATATTATGACGTATCAATATTACAGAGATTGTGTTTCAAAATCCTGAAAAATTCACCTATTCCGATCCTTGCTCATTTATGTAGGCACACCATTCAAATATGTAAAACTTTGTGCCCTACTCTTTCACGCAACATTTTGTTTCTTATTTTTTTTTCAATGATAAACATTAACGTAGTTATCGATATGTGGATATTACAGTTGCAGTACATCACTAGCATACAATTTAAATGATATAAATTTGTTAACTTTATTTGTTCTTAGCCTGCTCTACTTACATATGGCTGCAAAGTATCATATTTAAGTGCTTACATGGCCTTCATCTAAATGAAATCTCGCCATAAACATCCTTTTTTCAAGATTCGAATGACTTGCTAGATTTTCACCAATTTCACAGGTAATAAACATTAATCATTTAGGCATTTTGAATTAAAAGTATAACTCTGATCACCTGTCACTAGTTTTCGTGAGAAAGTTTACTCTAAACAATTTAAATTTACAATCAAATAAGCATTTACATTCAAAATACGCGGTGCGAAATTAAGTTTTGACAAACAACAAGGCACTTCTTGTATTGCAAGAAAGAGAAACCGCATTGAGGGAGAGTGATAGCAATATCCGCCATTATTTGCCGCGTAAAGTCCATAGAAAATTTTTTTTTCCTAGTTTCGCCAGACTGGACACATGTATCTTTACAAATGACATATTTGTCATATAATTATAGATATTAGTTAAATTTCATTCACGTTAATATTTTATACGTTAATAGGTGGACTATGGTGTGCAAAGATGATCATGACACATCATTTTCAGTTCTCATAATTCGAAGTCTAAGGTCTGCCCACCGTCATCTGCATTTTCGCCCGATTTTACTGGCGAGGCGCCCAAGTGAACGTGGAACATGCAAGTTATGAAAAAGCAATCTGTTAAAGTAATTTCGGGCGCGCCGCTAAAAGTAACAAGTCAGCGCCAATGTGGGGCTATGTTTTTGCTTCCACACAAAGAACCCGACGGAATTGCGTAACCATTACACGGCTGGAAAGGAGAGTAATTTGGCGGCTGTAAAATGTCGGATCTCACTAAACACATGTAATGTTCCTTAAAATCTTCTCAATCTCTTAAAGGCGCAGTCAGTCGTAGCAATGTATCTATACTTGATACTGATTTATTAGTTAGTGAAGAGTTTAGAAAACATTTAAATGTAAATTACACATCTTTATTGTAGCATTTAAAATGGTTATAAAATGACATGGTAATGGAACAAACTCTGTCTCGATCATGGACTCTGAAAAAAAAGTATAAAATTTAAAATAAACGCAATAAAATAACCGAGTTATATTTAACAAATCTATTCTTGCTATTATATGCAAGTATTTGATTGTCTCCTGTGTCTAGGCGAGCGAGCTGGACCTAAATCCTTAGTAATATTATAAACGGGAAAGTTTGTATGTATGGATGAATGTTTGTTACTTTTTAATACTACTGAATGGATTTTAATGAAACTACCATAGTATAGCTTATACATCAGAATAAGACATAGGCTATAATTTATATACATAATCTATGTATATCTGTCTTTCTGTCTGAATGTTACGCCTTCAGCCTATTCTACGCAGACGTAGTCGCGGGTAGCAGCTATTATTCTATATCTTCATCTTCTTATATATAAAAATGGATTGCTGTTCGTTAGTCTCGCTAAAACTCGAGAACGGCTAGACCGATTTGGCTAATTTTGGTTTTGAAATATTTGAGGCAGTCCTGAGAAGGTTTAAACGATGAGAAATTATGGAAAAATTACATGGAAAATCGAAATAGTAAGAATTTTATTTTCGCGTATAAACTTTACCTGTCAACCTGTCAATTATGTCTGTGTAACCTGTCAAACACTTTATGCGTGCGTTCCGATTCCTCTAGAAATAATTTATATGGCAAAACAGCGTTTGCCGAGTCAG